ACAATGTTGGTTTCCCACCATGCAAAATATCACCAAGAAGAAAGAAAGAAAGTCATCCAGGTTTGGAACGACATGAAGGTGAAAGAAAAAAATGATGAAAATGGTGAAAACTTTTCATTTTTTGATGAAGTAACCCTTCAAACCATAACATAAGATTTACTTAATATTTAATACAGATATATCAAAGTTAAGATAAATGGAAATATAGATAATATAAAATATACATTCCTGACAGAAGAATGTTCATTAATCAAATAGAATTTATTAAAATAAAAGTTTATATATACAGTATATATATATATATATATATATATAGTATATATAAACTTTTATTTTAATAAATTCTATTTGATTAATGAACATTCTTCTGTCAGGAATGTATATTTTATATTATCTATATTTCCATTTATCTTAACTTTGATATATCTGTATTAAATATTAAGTAAATCTTATGTTATGGTTTGAAGGGTTACTTCATCAAAAAATGAAAAGTTTTCACCATTTTCATCATTTTTTTCTTTCACCTTCATGTCGTTCCAAACCTGGATGACTTTCTTTCTTTCTTCTTGGTGATATTTTGCATGGTGGGAAACCAACATTGTAGCCCATTGATTTCCATTGTAATTTATATGATGTTAATATGATAGTTTATTTGATGGTAAATATTTTTAATGTTAACTTTACCACATATTATAAGTACTACAGTTCAAAACAGTTTGGGGTCAGTATTTTATATATATATATATATACAATTTAAAAAATATATTTCTACAGTGTGCCTACTTTTTGTCAATACCTTCCAATATTTATGTAAACATTTTGTAAAAGTTGGCTTTCAAATGAGTGCAAAAACATCTCACAGACTTTAGTGAGTTATATACAGTTTTATCATAATTTTTATTAAAAACTGTATATAACTTGCACCACTTGTCACATCGACTCCCAACACTGGCTACATGATTTTAGTGTCTATATTTATTATTATTTATACACGCTCCTGATATGTCCAGTCACACATCCTGAAAAAGTAACAGTTTTGGATTTTTAGTTCATATATCATTTTATTTATTAGTCTTATTAGTTGCTACCGTAATCAGAAAAGCAAAATGGCTCCTGCATTTAATACAATATTTTATAGTGAGCTGCCAACACTGTAAGATTTCCTGTCTGACAGTGGTGACATTTTATAGCATGCATATCAGCCAGAGTTCCTCTATAACATATCAGATAACAAAGATAAAGACTGGAAGTCAGTCGCCCTCACTATTGTCTGCTGCACCCACATTGATGGTGCTTTCCATGAAGTGTACATTTAAAGAAAATATTGCTGGATAGAAAAGCAAGAGGAAACTGTGGCAGTATGGGTTATCAGATATCAACTTGCAAATCTGTGGTAAGTGTTTGCCACAGTTGAGTTTAGGCATTCCTGTGTGCTATAATAAGAGGTTTAGGTGGCACTCCATAGAAACACCCAACCCAAACCCCAGACCCATATTACATGCCCTGCCAAGTGACAAAGGCCATTATTTAGTTTTAGAACCAGTTTCTAAAAACAAACAAATAAACCCTAACGGAGCTCTATCAGATCAACAAAACACAATATAATGCTTTTGAATACTTCACTTCAGACTATTTCTTTTCTGTGTCCTTAACTGTACATTTTCTAAACCATTGAATCTTTTTCCACATATTACATTGATTGTTTTCTTATCACTTATGGTAACTTATAGGTTTACGGTATATACTGTTCAAAAGTTTGGTGTCAGTATTTTTTTTTTAAATAAAATTATTATTTTTGAATTCGGCAAGGATTTGATATATGATTTCTGAAGGATCATGTGACAATGAAGACTGGAGTAATGATGCTGAAAATTCAGCACTGCATCACAGAAATTTTTTACATTTTAAAATATATTCAAACAGAAAACAGTTATTTTAAATTGTAATATTACTTCACAATATTACTGTTTTTACTGAACGGTAGTGTAAATTATTTCTCAGAATTATGACTTGCTCTTATCATTCTAAGAAAGTGATGTCATATCATTATGTTGTCGACAACAACAACTGCAGGCCAAACTGCTGCAAACTCAAATGCACCATACTGAATTATGCAATTATACGACGTCTCATAAAAACACATTTAAGGTAAACCATTTGCAATTTACTCATTCAACAAGTGCCCTATATACAACTTGTTTTTATGATGCACTGCAAGAATGTACTGGACACTGAATTCTAGTGAACTTCTAGTGAACAAATTTCCAGCTGTACTTCGCTTTGTAGTTATGCAAAGTGCTAGAGAGCCAAATGGTTGTGTAAATGAACTTGCTTTAGACAACAGCAGACAACAGCAACAATAGCAACTTCTAGTGAACAAATTTCCAGCTGTACTTCGCTTTGTAGTTATGCAAAGTGCTAGAGAGCCAAATGGTTGTGTAAATGAACTGCACTGAGTACAGGGCAGACAACAGCAACAATAGCATATAGGGCTGCGCAGAGTAATTACTGTGCGAGGCAGCAAACACACATGAATAGAGTTAGCATAAACGTGAATCAGTCATTTGAATAGACACGGAACAAGCCAAGACAAATACAGGTAGTAAGTATACTAAAGACTACCTAGTGAAGCCAAACCTGTTTCATTTTAACAGCACACCCACCACTTATGAAGTGCAGAAGGATATGTGTCTTGCAAGCATTAAATGACGTTGATTAAATCATCTAAACACACTAAGACACAAACATGAGCGGCCTGCTTTTCATTTACACAAAAGCTTGAAATTATTTCCGTCTGCTGTGTTTACACGATTGTAATTCAGTGCCGCTGTACACTGCTTGTTGCTTTGCTGTTCTGTAGTGACGGCAGTACAGTACAGGACTATTTGTCTAATGTTCAGCTAACAAATAGGTCTGGATAGACTGCCAGATCTTTGCCCTTCATAGGTTCCTCATTGCCGTAAGGTAGGGCTGTGCTCTCTGGGGAAGCAGCGTTGCTATTTGAACCAGTGCTGTCGTTTGTTTGATTCAGCCGCCTTGGGCAACTTGTGTATCGGATATCTGTAATAGTGAAACTTTAACATAATATACCTTTAACAGCTCTTCTGCTATCAGAAGGCCATGCTGGCGAGTATAGAACTGTACTAATTAACCCTTTAAAGCCTACTTTATCATATTTGATCAAATGCACATTTCTAAGGCCTCTAAACTATCAGCATGACCAAAACTTTGCTGGAAAAACCAGTTGTACACAATCTAGTATGTCTTCTGTCTTCTGATTGATAGTTTATATGTTTTAGCAAGTACAAAGCCTTTTAGTATCTTTCTTCAGGTTGTGGTTCACGTCTTTTTGCTGCGAAATCTTTACTGATTTTTATAAATTAAATATAAGAATAACTTGATGAATACTTGAAATGGACTGAAGCAACTTAGGATTACTTGATTATCCATAAATAATTTTTTGACGCATTGTGTTAAAAGCATCAAACATATCATCATTGTACTGCATTGCATTATGTGTTTTGCCCCCACAATAAAAACCATAGAGCTTTAATCATATAAATTGAGCACTTAAATATATGTAATTGGGAGGTATAGAGGGACACTGATATCATGTATTTTCATGTATTTTATTTAAATGAAAGTATTCTGTTATATTGTTATAAATCTCATTACATACACATTTCAACTTACTTACTGACCATATAAATAATATCTGCATCAATTGCATATTTTCAGTTCAGTTTGGGCCTCTGAATAAAACTGAGGTGGTTTTTCATACACTGAAAAAAAAAGCTCTAAATGAACTGGTTTTACATGAAAAAAAAAAAATGAAAAAAACACCTAAATACAATAATTTATACCAAAAAAACTATTATTTATTTTGTAATGTATTTTTATTTTATTTTATTCATGGGTTAAATCAGGTAAAGTTTGCTCTTTAAGGTTACAGTTACAGGTTACTGATTTTTACAGTGTACTATGAGCCATAAAAGCCTGTTGTGTCTATTATGATACTCACCAAAACCCATCTTCTTCTTCTTCTTTTTTTTTAGATTTTATTAATGTTTTATCTAAAGTTTCAACTTTTCCATTTCAAGCCAATTTCTTTATTTGTTTATATGTCAGGGCCCAGGCTTTGTAGGGTTAAGTATACAGCCACACATCAGCTCTTGTCTTATATGACATACCTGCATACTATTATAAGCAACGTATTACAAAACAGTTGTGCCAATTAGAGGGGTGTTTATGTTTAAGGCATGGCAGTAGAAACCATATGCATGACAATCATTTCAATCAAAACAAACAACACAAATAAAGCTCTTTATCACCTGTAATTACACAGAGACAGCGCCCTGCTGTTTCATAGTGAAATTAGGGTCCAGCTGTCAGCAGTGCATCACTTGTCACATCGACTCCCAACACTGGCCGCATGATTTTAGCGTCTGACGATTAGTGGCTGCCAGAGAAGTTTACATGCACGTGATTGACAGCCCGATTGCTTCAGCATGACGGCGTAAACAGGAAGGAAGAGCCTTTGGACAAGCACAAAACACAAGACACTTTGGATCACAACTCCAGTTACACCAATCACTGGCAGAATATTAGCCTACTACTCTTAATATTTCAACCATATCACTATATTTTCAGCCACTGTCTTATATGTGGAAATGAGGAGGTTGAAATACCTGTAGTTTAGAGGAAGTGATTTTATTCCTAATATTCAGAATAACAGCATGTGTCACGCTGAGGTGCTATTTAATAAGCTCACGATGACGAAGAGTAATCCACAGTCTTTTAATAATTAATCCACAAGGAACACAGGAGATAACTGAAACCAACATAGAACAACATATTATAGACACAAACATAAATGCAAACCAAGACGGACAGAGACTAGAAGGAACTAAGAGTAGTTAAACACTGGGACTACCGAGATAATTAAAACACAGGGGAACAGAATGACATTGTCACGAATCCGGTCTATGAACTTCCGTTCACTCACCACCAGAGGTCACCCGCTCACTACATGGACTCTCACACTACACAGACTGTTACACTATACCCTGGACTACATTTCCCATCATCCATTGCACTGATTGCACACAGCTGTAACCAATCACACGCTCACCTGAAAGCTACCAATAACACACACTATATAAATCAGTCTCACACCACCATTCAACGCCGAGTATTGTTTAGCATTTATCACTCTTCTAGCGGTAGCTACTTTACGGAGCCAGTTCCCGGTCTAGTTCATAGTTCATAGTTAAGTCTAGTCTTGCCTTGCCTGTTTTCCTGTGTGAAGGTCTTTGCCTGTGTATTACGGATTACACCTTTTGTCAAGCCCTCTGGATTCTGTTCGCCTATCGAAGACCCACGCTTGTCCTAGGATTACTCTTTGTCTTGCCTGTGTTGTACCTGTTTGCCATTGCTTGACCCATGCTTGTTATATGACCTCACGTCTTGGAAATAAAGCCTTGCATATGGATCCGCACGTCTCACGTCTCGTTAGCCCCGTTACAGACATAATTGAGACAACTAAGCAAAACTAGGTCAAAGGAAAACTAACACAGAAAACAACAGACAACGTGACTCATGGGTATATTTTATACTACAGTTTAATAAACAAGAAGTTAATCTGGTGTGTAACTAATATTTTGGACACAATATCGCTAATTCCTACGGAGCCCTGCACATGGCATGCAGGAAAAAAATAGTAGGCTAAATCGTGTGCACGATTTACTATTTCGTTCCTTCGATTTATAAATTGTGCACTCGATTTACTAATTCGTTCCCTCGATTTGCTAAATCGTGCGCACAATTGACTAATTCGTTCTCGATTTATAAATCGTGCGCACGATTTAGCAAATCGAGGGAACGAATTAGCAAATCGATGGAACAAAATAGTAATCGTGTGCATGTTTTAGTACGTTGAGGGAACAAATTAGTAAATCGTGCGCACGATTTATTTATTTTTTCTTGCATGTCATGTGCGGGGCTCCATAAGTTCCAAATGAAGCCAAAGCAGAATTAACTGCTGAGAAGCAAACAAGTGTCTCGTTCCTGAATGAATCAGTGTTTTTGAACGAATCAGTTGAATGACTGATTAGTAGTAGGTCATCCAGGTAATATTCACTTACTGTTTTATGAATACTGTTAATTCTGACATTTTTGGCGTACTGTTTCTCACATACTATATTGTAGGGAAGTATTCAATTTCGTGCTCAGCGACAGTCCGTCTGGAATATACAAACACAGACAAAGCATCCAAAAGTCCCAGAATGCAACTCAGCCAATTAAATTTGAAGACTGAACTAACTGTGCTCTGAACACACTTGTAGTATTAAAATCATAGCCATTCTGTCAAGATTTTTAGTAGGACTATAATTACTTTTTAATTACATTTTTGCTACGTTTATTATTATTATTGTTATTATCAGAGCTGGGTAGATTACTAACAAATTGTAATCCGTTACTTATTCCAATTTGCATGTTTAAAAATTGTAGTTAGTAACGTAATCCATTACATTACACATTTTGGGTAATATAATCAGACTACTTTTTGATTACAATACTTTTAGATTACTTTTGACCAAACTTGTTTATCACATTGATTTAAATAGGATAATCTTGTACCATATTGATATAAAAACGCAAAGAAAAATAAAATATATTCCATTCGTTTTTATTAACAACATGAACTGCATTAAACATGATTACATCAAGGTTTCCCAAACCGGGGTTTGTGAAGGAACTGCAGGGGTTTATGAGTTTAATGAAAAGCAAATCATTAATTATATAATAAAAAAGTACAATTAAAATAAATAATTTAAAAATAACATAAATCAAAATAAAACACTTACTAAAAAATGTAATATTTTATTTGTTTACCTGCATGTCATGTGACCATTAACGAACGTCAGAGAACGTCTCCGGTTACTATCGTAACCTCGGTTCCCTGAGAGCGGGAATGAGACATCACGGAGACATTTCTCCGTTATGGGAACTCCTTCCCTTCCAACCTTTCCTGAAGTCCTATTGGCTCACGCTAGTCCAAATGACTGGCCAATTGTCGCGAAGTATGCAAAACGCATGCAAATACTGATGCGCTCAAGAGGTAGTATAAAAGGCGGTGCACGCGACAATTACGTCAGAATCTGATACTGAACGTCGCTTAGCTGGTCGAGCAGCGAACACGGCGACCTCCGTGATGTCTCGTTCCCGCTCTCAGGGAACCGAGGTTACGAGACTGAACGTCCAACTTGTAAAACCTGGCGAAGTTATTCTGAGAAGACCAGCCAGCTGCAAAGCATATATCCTGAATAGACATACCTCTCGACCACGACCAGGAGGAGGCGATAGCTCTTGTTGAGTGGGCCCTAATGTGCAAAGGACATTCCAAACATTGGCTCGTATAACAGCCGTGTAAGCATCCACAATCCAGTGGGAAAGCCTCCTTTTTGACATGGCCAGGCCCTTGGCACAACCACCGTAGTGCCTACCGATCGATTGCCCGCCCAGCGGGGAACGAAACGAGGCAATAGCGGCCAGTGTTGATGGTAGACATCCACTATCAAGCCTGTACTGTAGAAAACGCAGAACATCCGACACGGAGCAAGCAGCCGGGTTGATATGAACATCACGGCACCACAAACACTCCCTATTTTAGAGCATAGAAATGTTTCTTGGAGGGCGCCCGTGCCTCCGAGAGCGTATCAAGCACACGAGAATGCAGGGCCACCAGCAGCTTTGTCAGGTCCGGGAACCAAGGCTGGTTCGGTTAGTTCGGGGTGACGAATGTCACCGAAGCCTCCTCCTCCCTGATCTTGCAAATCACCAGCTGCATTATCTTGATCGGAGGAACGCATACAGCCTGGCTGCTGGCCAGTGCGATGTCAGAGCGTCCCCTTCCAGCGGAGAGTGAGACAGGGAGAAGAACAGCGGGCAGTGCGCATTCTCGCTCGTGGCGAACAGATCGACCTCCGCTCTCCCGTAGCGGGCCCAAATCATCCGAAACGACTCGGGGTGCAACCTCCACTCTCGAGGAATCCCTTTCCTCGAAAGCATGTCCGCCCCGCGATTCAGGAGACCGGGTATGTGTGCTGCTTTGATGGAGAGAAAGTGACGGTCCGCCCATAGCAGGAGATTCGCTGCCTGCTTGTACCGAGCCTTGGATCGTACGCCCCCTTGGTGATTTATGTACGACACCACAGACGTTGTCGGTGCGAATCAGTACATGTCACTGTTCCAGCCGCGGCCGTAAATCCTTTAGAGCTAAGAACACTGCTTCCAGCTCCAAGCAGTTTATGTGCCACCGGCTCTGAGGTTCTGACCACAGCCCTGAAGCCGGCATGCCCTCGCACACTGCTCCCCATCCACGAGTCGACGCATCCGTCGTGACCAGGACACGTGACATCATCAAGCCCAGGGGAACCCCCCGGCTGAGGAGATCTTTGCGCCATAGCCTCAGGGCTTCGATGCAGCTGTGGGAGACCGCGATGCGCAAATGGTCCGAAGTCCACGCCGTCCAAGGGGCTCGAGATTTCAGCCATAACTGCAGCGGGCGCATGTGTAGTAAACCCAGATGACATACTGATGCCGCTGCCATGAGTCCCAGCAGCCTCTGACATTACTTCAAGTGATCAGAGCTGCCCAGTCTGAAATGGTGCAGGGAAGACAAAATGGCCGCCGAGCGCTCCCGAGAGAGGCGAGCGCGCATCTCCACCGAGTCGAAGCACACTCTCGGATACGTCATAGACTGACTCGGGGCGAGAATGCTCTTACGCACATTCACACATAGCCCCAAGAACTCCAAGTGACGAAACAGTTTGTCTATATGGCTGTCTATAGTGTGTCCCGTGACTGAGCTAAGATCAGCCAGTCATCCAAATAATTGAGAACGCGCATCCCGCTCGCTCTGAGGGGGGCGAGAGCTACGTCCATGCACTTCGAAAAAATGCGCAGGGCCAAAGCCAGCCCAAACGGGAGAACAGAGTACTGGTACGCTGTGCCTCGAAAGCAAATCTCAGAAAGCGTCTGTGATCCGCTGCTATCTGAATGTGAAAGTACGCGTCCTTTAAATTCACGGACGCAACCAGTACCCGGGGCGAATTCGCGCCAGGATCTGTTTTATCATCCTGAACGCACGCTTTCAGAGTGCTCTGTTGATGGGCCTGAGATCTAGAATCGGGCGGAGTCCTGCAATCTCTCTTGGGCACCATAAAATGGTGGTTGTAAAACCCGCTCTCCAGCTCGCTCGGAGGGACTCGTTCTACCGCTCCTTTTTCGAGCAGGTTGCATACCTCTTGTCTCAGAACCAGGGCATTTCGAGGCAATGTTAGAGACTTCGGGGTGGTCTGTGTCGGAATTCAAGGGCGTACCCACGCTCTATCACACCGAGTAACCAGCGCGAGATTCCCGGAATAGTTTTCCACGCGCTCAGGAACTGACATAGCGTCTTTAGCTTTTGGCTTGGTCGTTGGATGCGCCGGCGAGTGCTGCGTGGCTATAACATGTGTGAGCAGCGGCTCTGCACCGCTCTGAGGCGGGGCGAGCGGCGCTATATTGACTGAGTGAGGAGGAAAGAGCTCTTTTGTGCACATCTATGCATTTTTTTTTTTTTTTTATGATCCAACACACACATCTAACACAAATTTGGCCGCTTTACTGCTGGTGAGTGGGTAAGCGACTGAAGCGCTTGTCGCCGCACTGAAGTGGAGGCTGCATATCGCCCTGAATGAGTGAGAGAGCGGAGTCTTGGTGTCCCTGCACTGCGATGAGCCATGCGCCAAAGAAGACCTCAATCTCGCGGTCTGCTGCTGGAAAGCGCGCCTCGGCATAACGTGCCTCATAGCTTTGCATGGCATTTTAACCGGTGTGGGCGGCGGCATCTGCGCCTGTCACTACAGACTGTGAATGGCTATACGACCTAGTTGAACACCACTTCGTAGGGGCGTGAACAACTGACGTAATAGTCCAGCGAAATCTGGAAGGCTGATAAGACGCGTGCCTGGGCATCAGGTGACTCCTCGCCTTCGCGTGCTTTTCCGCACAGTCGCATCAGGTGACTCCTTGCCTTCGCGCTTAATGTTATCTGCACTCGGCTCTCCGCTCCGCCATGGAAGGGGGACGTGAGAAGCCGGGCCGATGTCCTGCAGGACATTTTGTCGGCATGAACTCATCACCAGAGTCCTTATGGTCCGCCACTGATAGAGGGCAGACGGACTCATCTGGCATCTGAAGAAAAATGTTATACTCACCTGAACGCTGCAGAGGAGCGGCAATCCAGGCACTGCCCTCTGATGAGCGAACCTTAAGTGAGCTGTAATAGTTTATAAGCCATATTCTTAGGTTATTCAGCAAAGTGAAGGAGAAGATTCTGACGTAATTGTCGCGTGCACCGCCTTTTATACTGCCTCTCGAGCGCGTCAGTATTTGCATGCGATTTGCATACTTTGCGACAATTGGCCAGTCATTTGGACTGGCGTGAGCCAATAGGACTTCAGGAAAGGTTGGAAGGGAAGGAGTTCCCATAACGGAGAAATGTCTACGTGATGTCCCGTGAAAGCTCGAGAGGGAACCGAGAACATGCAAAAATTATACTTAATTATTAACTTATTACCTTAAAATCTGAGGGGGTACTTCAAGTAAATATATTAGGTGACTGCTGACAAAAAGTTTGTGAATCCCTGAATTACATGTAAATAAGAAATAATGTGAATTTGTGCATTTTAACGTGTTTGAAAGACAAACGCCTTCTAAAGACACAGTAATACAAACAACCCACTGAATGATTATTTTAAAAAATCATTTGTTGAAATGCTGAGAAAACACTTCTTAAAACTGAAATGATTTCTGTAAATCCAGTGCTCAAATGCTGTGTGGCCACTCAATTTTCTGTGTGATTATATAGCCACCTGACTAGTGACTGGTGTTTGTGTGAATGTCCACAAAACTGGAAGACTTTATGGATGTATATAGGCAGAAAGGAAAACTTAAAAGATGAAAAATAAGAATTAGGGAGAATCAATTAAATTATGAATAATTTATTGCTATTTTGTGATTAATATGTAATCATGTAATCAATAAAAAAAGTAACTGTAGTCTGATTCAGGGTATTTTAAAATGTTACTACCCAGCTCTGATTATTATTATTTATTTTTATTTAAGTTTATTAGTTTATTGTTTTGAGACCAGCTTTCCTGTCCATGGTGGGCTTTTGGGGGGGATTTTAAAGGTGCTCTTGGATCAGTGCTTCAGATCCTCTGTCATACTGTAAATGAGACAGCAGCTTTCAACACTTAAGAGGGTGTGAGTATATGTGCGTTTATGATGAAAAACCACACCTTAGAGTTTCCACTGAGCCACATTCCTTTTCTCTTCCAAGCTGTAATGATACATTTCCCTTTACATTTTTGAAAGTACTTCCTAGTTTGGACACATAAAACTAGCTAAAGATGCCATATAAAACCAAAGCACACATGCTAAATGTACGATTTTACAGTTATAGGTGATTGTAATATTAATAGATATAATTATAAATATAGTGAAGTCACAATATAATTAACTATTACAATCAAAAGAAATAATGTATTACAAGGGAAAACACACTTGACATCATATAAGGTATAAGGCATATATGATCCAAAGTGCCAGAAGAGGGCATTTGTAGTTTACTTTTTCATAAAGACAAAGTAAGCTTTAGTGTCAACTATAAGTTAAATAGTTAGATATTGATGATATTGTTTTTTTAATTTTCTTTTTTTCATTGAACTTAAAAAAATGACAGATTTAGAAAAAATCATTAAAAAAAATTGTTGATAGTGCACTTTTCATTAGAAGGAACTAAGATCCCGCCCCTGTTAATATACCCAATGACATTGAGTTACAAGTTCACATGATTTATTTATTTATAAAGATTTAAAAAATAAATATTATTTATGTCAAGATGGTAACCATGTCTTGAACATTGGGGGGGGACCAATTGTTTGTAAATATTTTGTTAAGTAAAATAAATAAATAAAACAAATAAAATAAAATAAATAAAATAAAATAAATAAATAAAACAAATAAAATAAATAAATAAATAAAAAGGTGAAGGAAATTCCAGGTGAAATTCTAGTTGGGAAGTGATCATTTTCGGTTATTAATAAATAATATTTTAAAATATGCCCACAAAATAATATTTTAAAATATGCCCATAAAAAAATATTATTTGTATGCCTAATATGTCGAAAAAGCAAAACGTTTCTTGCCACGTCACATTCTGTTAGGAATTACATATATATATATATATATATATATATGTAAATATATATATGTAAATTATACTTTTAATTGTAAATGATAGTTTTCTGATTGGCTAAATTGCGCGAACCGCTTTCTTTCTTGCTATTTACAGGCTAGGGCTGTCAAAGAAACAAGTGTTATTTATGCAGAACTGTTTTGGTGATATCTCCAGTAGCCCCTCACTGCAGAACACAAGATCTAGGGGGTGGAGATTGGTAGGTTTAGGGGTGGAGATGGGTGGGTTTAGGGATCAGGGTGTGGAGACGGTTAGATTTAGGAATATTTAAGGTGGGAGGAGTTGGATCTGGATCCAACCTCGCCCCTGGATCTTGTGTTCTGCAGTGAGGACCATCTCACCTGAGTTGTTGTGATGTAAACCACTGCAATTTATGTACTTAATTGAGAAATCTGAGATATGCACAACGTTTAGTATATAGAAATTAACTGTATTACAATGTAGCTGATAAGATCTTAAAATATTCTTTGATTCGTTTATCTAACGACTTTTGGATGGGAAATTTGCATTGCTTAAAGACTAATTTCCATGCATGTTATTACTGTACAAGAAAGGCAAATATTGCATGCTCTGGAGAGAGAGAGAGAGTGAGTGAGAGAGAGAGAGAGAGAGAACGCAGCACACTGTAGCTCGAGACACATCATCATTACAAAAGGCGCACGCACAAGAAACAGCCCCTTTGCGTTTGTACACCTGTATTGCGATCTCCATTTATAATAACCTGCGCGAGGGAATATATCTTAGGATCTCTGCGTACGCAGCTCAAACAAAGGCTTTACTGTTCAAGCGTGATACCCTCTTCTTCCTCGGCAGGCATATGTATTTGGCATCGCCGTTTCTTCCAGTAAGCACCAATGCATGCATGCACCCGCCTCCCTGCGCTCTCAAATAGATGGTGCAAGTAAAGATGTCCAAATCTTCCGCAGACCCTCTGTCTGGTGTAGAAAGCGCTTCTCAGTCGCACTATTTTCAGGTAAGATTTTTTGGGGATTTGAATATGATCTCATAAATGGTTAATTTCCTGCTACTTGTTGTTGAGCAGTCGTGCGTCGAAGCGCTTCATATATCCGCAGAGCGCTACAGCTACACAATCTGCCCGTGTAATATCGCGCTTTTAATCAGTCACGCGCTGTTTTTAATGAGCGGAGGCGAGATGTTGATAAGATGTTTTGATGCTCCTCCACCATCCGCGAAACTCCCAATTCCTGTTTTTCCTCCGCCCTGAGATTTCCCACCGCAACCAAGGCCTCGTCCTTCAGGCCGGGAATCTGTAGACACAGTGTTCATTTATCAGTCTAAACACTTGTTTTCTTTGTGTGATTAGTGCGGATAAACGGCTTTAAAATCTCTCAAAATTCCCTTATGGTGAGCCCTCACTAGTCATGGGTCTCACCTGTAGCCAACTAAAGTCTCATGGCCACCTGCCCTATCCCTGACTGAAATACCAGAATATAAACTAGTATCTGTGTTTTTGACGATGGTAGCTGGTTTCTAACCGGTCTGAGTTGGCTATTAGTTGTCCAAAATGGCCATTAGCTGGTAGACCATCATGGACCAGCAACAAACCGGATATTAGCTAGTCATACCAGTTTAAGTTGGTCAAGAGGATTTTGGGGAAATGGTGTCGTCAGCTAAAAATCAGCTTGTGTCAATTAATGACCATCTTAGACCATGTTTACAAAACACAACTATTATCATAAACTGGATTTTCCACAAAGTGCGTCTTATTTATAAGGCATCTTGTGTCTGATGTTACTGTAACCGGGTGACTGTTTGTTTTGATGTGGTCGTCTCCATATAGCTACCACGAAAGTTACCGAAGCGCAAAGGTCGTTTTAAACGCTCAGATGGCAGCACCTCCTCTGACACCACCTCCAGCTTCATCAAACGACAGGTAAGACTCCGCATGATCAGTCGTCGCATCCATATCGTTAATCATACTGATGCTACATACTGTTTCTGTCATTAAGTTTTCATGTGGGATTGTTTGAGTAGTTACTCTTTGTTTATCCATTATTTAGTAGTTGTAGAGGTTGTGTAGTTTGACCAGGTGATGTGGTTCTCTAGAGGATGAAATCAGCAGGTGTCTTATCAATCCTTTTCACATTTCCGGGGTCCTCAGAAGCGGAATCGTCATAGTTGGGTGAACTTCTATAGTGGTGAATGGAAACTACAATAAATATATTTTTTTGCATCTTCATTTGCCCCAATAGCAAAAGCAAATATCCACGATAAGCATTCTATGACTTTACAAGAGAGAAAAAAAAAATATTGAGAGATTTATGTTGCTCAGAAGAGAGACAGATGTCAAATTTCCATCACTCCCTCAGCCATTGTATTAAAAACACTGTAATTTAATGCCAAGGTAGAAAAACACAAAGTGGTATAAATTTACAATACAAAAATTAAAATGTAAAAAACTTTGCTAGATTTACGACATGTTTTGACGACGTGAGTCTTCTTATCTTTTGTACATCAAATAATATTTTTTTATTTATTTAATTAAAAATTATTTTTCTATTCTTTACATGTTAGAAACTATATCACAATTTTATTGTGTAATATATTATATAATTTGTAATGTTTCATAATATATTGTAATATTAAAACATACAGTAATGCTTATAATAAAATCAATAAAGAGGCATTTTTCATAATACTTTTAATATACCTTTGAATACATTGATATGATATATATATATATATATACACGTATATTAAACATTATGTAATGTAATATGTACCATATATACATATATATATGGATGGATGTATATTAAATGCCATGTTTAACTCATTTACTGTAGCATTAGTTTATCACATGTAATCAACTCTACAAGGTTTTAGTTTTAGTTGTAAATATATATAAATATATTATAATAAATAATATATAATATAAAATAATTCAATTCAGATGTTGATACTTGATCAAAATACACTACTTCGTTTAGAATGTTTTCTTGAGCATTTTCAGAAACATTCAGTTGGCATTCAAGTATGGTGTATTTGTGGTGTATTTCACCTTAAAACCAATAAAAACCAAACTTCATTGTTCAGATGTTATGAAAAGTTGTTGCCAGGTTACATAATTTTAAAACCGTTAAATTTCCACACTCTGAAAAACTATTGCCAGTTGACTGCTGGCTGTTGCTGTTATAAGTTTCACAAGACGTCTTTGTAAAAGTCTCTTGTATCTGGGTGACTATAAGTGTCCTTGGATTTCATTTTAATGTATTCAGTTTTGACATATCTAAAAAGCTTGGGTAATGTGTTCTGTGTAATCATGCAGCCTACCCTAATGTCACCGTCTCCTTTGTGCTGTAATCCAAGACGTGGCCGCTAGATGGAGGCAGCACCATTACTCTCCTGCAGCATCTTCATGTGTTATTTAAGAGAATCTTTTGAAAACACCAAAAGGAAAAAATAGGTTATGACAAGCACACTGAATTTCTCCATGGCACACCCTCATTACATCAATTAATTTCCTCTGTAATGAGTGACCCAAATTCTTTGGTTTGTTCTGCGCACACCATATAAACTCATTCGTCTGTGAAATGTGACACCCTTAGATACCTACTCCAGATTCATCTGTGCAGAAGCAAAGACAAGTTTACAGACAAGGTGTTTAAAGGGTATTAACAGGGACATTGACTATCTAGGCGTCCGTCTGCCATGCAGCGTTTAATGTGTTAACAGAGAGTTTGTGTGTGTGTGTGTGTGTGTGTCTTAAAAATGGCTGTCCACCAACGTTTACCATCCAACCTGACAGAACTGGAGAGGATCTGCAAGGAGGAATGGCAGAGGATCCCCAAATCCATGTGTGAAAAACTTGTTGCATCTTTCCCAAAGACTCATGGCTGTATTAGATCAAAAGGGTGCTTCTACTAAATACTGAGCATTTTTCAGTTTTTCTTTTTTAATAAATCTGCAAAGATGTCAACAATTCTGTGTTTTTCTGTCAATATGGGGTGCTGTGTGTACATTAATGAGGAAAAAAAAATTTACTTAAATGATTTTAGCAAATGGCTGCAATATAACAAAGAGTGAAAAATTTAAGGGGGTCTGAATACTTTCCGTACCCACTGTATATATATATATATATATATATTAAAAAAAATGGACCTAAATTTTGAATGGTAGTGTAATTGAACTATTGTCTCGAACGTCGGACACTAGTAAAACTTCTACTATTATAATGTAATATTGATTAACATTTTAATTATATCTATATTATATTACTATTATAGAATTAAATATTTATTAATTAAAGCATTTTTATTTTTGTAATTCTGTTTGATGCAGAAATGATGGTGGTAAGATTATTTAATGTTTTTTTTTTT